AGGGTCATGAATGTCAGCCCAGTGGGCAGGTGGGGCACTTACCCAGCAGTCACTCCAGGGCAACACAGTGTCATGGACCTGCCGGGCTGCCCATACTGGAACCCTGTGGAGGGCACTTCTGAGGAAAGGCTCTCCCTTTCCCTTTCTCCCATCCCAGCCCCCACTTAGCACGACAGGGCAAGTGGCAAACTTTTAAGCCCTGGGTGGGGTCACTGGGTCAAAGCATCATGTTATAATCTAGAGACAGAGGTCAGAAGACAGGGTAGAGAAGGAATGTTGCCAGGTTGGATGTCAGGGGTTGGGGGTCACAGATTAGGCATGGAAAGGGTCCACAGTGAGGGTGGCAAGTCACAAGTCAGAGTTAGAGTCATATAGCAGGATTCTTCATCTTCATGTCATCATCTCACCTGGGGGGCCCCAGGCCTGGGGACAGGGGGAGGCAGCGGACACTAGGGCTATAGCCACAGCCAGCAGGACCCTGCTCAACCCTGAGCAGCTGCTGCTCATCTGTGGGGAGAGAGGCAGGGTCAGCAATCCCCCATTCCCAGATGGGAGGCTAAAGCCTGCCTCCTCCTCTTCTAAACTGGGACTTTCTAGGAAGAAAACTAGTACCAAATGGGGTAAGGATATCAGAAAATATCTGGGGATCTGATCTAAGGTTCCCCTTTCCACCATACACCCAGTGCTACATGTGCGTACATGCAAACACACACACACACACACACACACACACACCCTCCATCAAAGTCCTGGGCCTAGGGCCCAGAACAAAAGCCGGAGGCGACAGACTGCGCCAGCAGTCTCCCCCCCCCCCCCCCCCCCCACCACCCTTGGCGCCCACCCCTGGCACCAAGTGCTGGCACCAGCTCAGTCATTCCCATTAACTCCTCCAACCCAGCTGTTGGGAATTCCAGTGTCCACCCCCACCTGGCCCAGGGCTAGTCATTGCCTCTGGTTAACCTGAGACAGGCTTCATCAACCTTGGGTGGGGGGCTGTCAAGGTGGGTCTGAGCCCACGCTGTATTCCTACCATGAGGCCTAGCCCTGCTCTGGCTGCCAGGCCTCTTCTCTCCTGGGCCTGGCTCCTTGGGCCACTCATCTGGGCCTGACTCTGGAATCTTGTTGGTCTCGAGCCTGTGAGGCTGGATGGGGCTAGGGTGCAGGCTGAGGCTGCAGAGTTAAGCAGATCCAGATGCCTTGGCTGCTGCCAGAGGCTGGGGGTGGGCAAGGAGCCAGGGGATGGAGACAGGGTGTCGGGGAGGGGAGAGAAAGCTGAGAGGAGCGAGGAGCCTGCAGGGAAAGGGGCCTGGGGTGGAGGCCACAGGATCAAGAGATGCTCCGAGATCAAGACCGGGAGGCGGTGGGAGTTCAGGGAGGCAAGGGCTGGTGTAGGGCCGCAGGCACCAGAAAGGCAAAGGAGGTCACCACCGCTTGTGGGGGTGCTGGGAGAGAGGGATTCTGGATGGGAGAAGAGCGGGATGAGAAAGGCAGTGGGGAAGTGGCCATGGGGCTAGGAGAAGGCGCAGATAGGGAGAGGGCCCAGGCAGGCAAGGGCTCCCAAAGAGGAAGAGCACAGACCCCTCCCAAGTAGAGCAGAACAAGGGCCTCCAAGTGTCTGTGTATCTGTCTGAATGTGTCTGGTGGCTCACAGCCCCCCAACCCCCACTGCAGCCACATTGACCCTGCTCAGGCCCGCCCTACCTCGGTGATCCCAGTGGCTGAGCGTCCATGGCCTCCAGGACTTCCACCAGCTACAGCACCCGTCTCAGCTCCACTCAGTTCTGGGACCCCAGAATCATCCCCTCCTTCGCCTTCCCTCCTCCGCCCCTCTGGGCCCTAGAGCTCAGCCGCCCTGAGCCAGGCCCCCACCTCCCTCTTTCCTCCTCCTTCCTCCCCTTTCGCCCCCCTCCCACCCGAGGCCCTTGGAAGGGAATTGGCCTCCCCCCAGTCTGGAAAGGAAGCCACAGGCACAGCCATGGCCAGCAAGAGGGAAAGGAGGGCTGCTCATGTCCCTGTCAGGGAGAGATTCCCCATGTTTTCACCCAGCCACATTCATGCCTGGACTCACTAAGCACAGTCAACAAAAAGACACTCCCTTGAACACACGTGGACATAACCAAATGAAAAATCAGACACAGACTCATGCCCCCACTCTTTTCACTCCCCAGCAAATATTTCCTTAGGGCATAGCTAGCTGTTTTTTGAGGGGAAGGGAGGCCCCAGGTTGGAGGCTATAAAGAAAATCCAGAGTCCAGTCCCTCCGCCCCTGGACGTTCCAGCCATTTCTCACCTCCCCCTCCACTCTTTGGGCCCCAGCATCAGGAAATGCCTTTGGTCCCTTGGTGCCAGATATACAAGACCCACACTTACCCTCAGACACACACTCTCAGATATGGCCACTCACAGTCACATGGATACACTCAGACATCCTCACTCAGACTCAGACCCATACCCTCACACCACACACACACACACAGACACTTAGCACTCTGCCCCTGGGATGGGGGCGCAGCATTCCCTAAAAGCAAATCCTCATAATGGTTTAAGTCCCCTCCTCCAGGGAGCTCTTAGAATGGCAGATCCCACATCTCATCACTCCTCCAGGCCCCCATGTAGCCGAAGAGACAAAGGTGAACAGGGGAGCTAGGAGGCACAAGGGTGCAGAGAGAGACAGAGATGTAGAGGATGTGAGAAGCAGATACACAGAGATACCTGGGGAGACAAAACTATGAGGAGACACACATGACTGACAGCTCTAGGAAGACAGTAGTAGGGAGAGAAAAAGAAATAAAAGGAAACTGGGACAGGGAAACAGAAAATAAGCAGTAGATCAATGACAGAGATGCTAGAGCACAGAAAGGAAGGGAAGACACGTGTGTTGGGGTGGGTCTGTCTTTGCTGGACATTAAGCAGAAAGGTCAGTCCCACTGACTACTGAAGTTGGTCCCCGAGATACAACACCGCTCCACCCTCACACAGTCTGACACAGGACACAGGACACACACATAATACAAGTCTCTCACTCTTGCTCTGCCACTGCTGAAGTCACACAATGGCACACATAAACCCAGCCACCCACTCTCACACAGGCAGACACAGTCTTAAACCCCACAGAGACCTTCCGCAAACCCAGTCCCCATGTGGTCACAGGCCCTCTCACACACAAGCAGGCAACCCAGTATCTCACCAAAAACTGCACATTGACGGAAACAGAATCCCACACTCGCAAGCCACACGCAGACTCAACCACATGCGCACCGACACACGCAGTCATATTAACTGACAGCTGCCCCAAGTGATCCTCGGTTTCAGGTCCACACACCGACGCCGTCACACACAGCCCAACAGTCACACGCACACACTGACAGTCCGTCCGCCAGTCCAGGCCCTTCAGATCGTTCACCACCCTGCCCCGCCCTCTCCTGGCAAGCCTTCCGCGGGTACTCCCGCCGGCCCCACCAGGCCTCACCTTCTGCGGCCTCCGCCGCCTGCGCCCTCCGCCCTCGCCCTCTGCCCCGGCCTCTACTCCCTCCCGCCCTGGGGCCCCCCGCAGAGGGGGCGGCTCCGCCCAGGCACCAATGGAAGGACTGGGGTGAAAAGGGAGGGGGGTCTGGGCCCATTGGAGCCTCCAACTGCCAATCACCTCCACCCCACCTCTGCCGGACGCTTCCTGTCCCGTCCGGGACTGAGGAGACTGCTGGGGGCCAGAGTCTGGAGCTGGATTCCTGGGTCCTCCCTACAGCCCTGCCCTCCTGGGAGAGCAGGACTGGAAGTTTTCAGGCCCCTCCTTCTTCCAGCTTTGTCCAAAAACAAAGCCTCAAGTTCAGTGGCTCAGGAGCCATTGGGCAGGTGACTGGAGAAGCTGAAGGTGCCCCTGACTTCAGATAAGGAGGACTTGTGTGGGGCAGCGGTTCTCAAACTTTGCTGGACATTGTGGTTATAAAACTGCCAAGCCACACTCCAAACCGATTACATCCGAATCTCTGGAAGCTGGCCTTGGCATCAGTGTTTAAAACTCCCAAATGATTCCAAAATGCAGCCAAATCAAGACTGTAGGGTCAGGTGTTTGTGTAGGTGTATGCCTTAAGAAACCAGCGACCCCCATTCAGGGTTCACATCTAATCCCCAGTCAGTGGGGTCTCAAGGGAGATGTGTGCCATGTCTGTCTAAGTTCCTTCCAGACACTCCAAGTCCCAGACCCTACCCCTTCAGAGTCTCAAGGAAGAAAAAACCCTTGACTAGAAGTCAGGCGGCCAAGGTTCTCCTGGGCCAAGTCATCACTGTCTAGTCTTGGCATGATAGCCCTTCCCAAACTCAGTTGCCTTGAGAGAAGAATGAAGATAAAAAGCCTCCGGCCATCCTTGCATTGCTCACAAGCCCTATCCTCACCTAAAAGTTTGGAAGGCCCTAGGTGGCATCAAGTCTCCTGGGTTGCATGCCCTATTATTGCCACACAGTCACACAATCTTCCAAAGGAAACAGGTCCAGAGGGGAGGGGGCAGACTCAAGCTGCCCTCCTTAAAGGGCTGGTGCTCCTAACTCTGATAGCCCCTTCCCTACCAGAGCTGTTTTCTTTCTTTCTTCCCCTGCAATGATTGGGGCACATGGGCAACACAAGTGTGCAGAGCCTGCCCATATATGCTGCATGTGAGAGTCTAGAGAATTCAAGGACACAAAGCCATGTACACATTCCCTACCCACCCCTTCAGCCCGTGGGCTGGAGCAGAGCCAAGCTGCAGCCACTCAAAGCCAGGGTTCTGGCCAGCAGCCCAGTGTCTGGCCACTGACCACTGGGACCAGGATCCTGCTCACCCGCTTCCCACCAAACCCTCAGGCCTAGGCTTGTTGAGCTGACGTATCACCCTAGGGGTAGTAGTGAAGAGGGCTCTGGCCTTCCCAAAGCCTTAGCCACAGACAAGAACTCAGGATTTTAAAAAATTTCTTTAACTGTGATGGCTTTGTTACTCCAGGAATAAGAGAATCTGTAGGCCAGACACAACATTGAGTATTCATTTTGTTCAGAGACTTGGGGTGTAATTTTTGTACTCTAAGTTTTTGCACATCTGTAGGCAAAGAAAAGTTGTGGCTGGTGCTGTGCCATCAGACTTTAACCAAGATCCCTGAGGATTATAGTTCATACTTCTCTGTCATTAGAATATGTGATTAAAGTTTGAGAAACACAGTTTAGTTTTATTGATCCCACATCTTCCCAACCCTAGGCCCTGGTTCCCTCAAGCAGAAGGCCCTGTGGTCAGTGTGGTCAGGCGACGGTTGCTGTCTCCCTATCCTTCTGCCCCAGGCGGTAATGAACCTCAGGAACGGTCCTTAGTCTCTCCGCAGCCTGGAAGGGAACAGGGAGCAATCAGGGAGGATAAGGGCCACCCAGAATGCTGGTATGGAGCAGTATGGGTGGAACAGTAGTAACAAGTGCCTAGGTGGCACTGGGGGGAAGGCTTGTTGGACCAGGAGGCTGGCAATAAGGACCGCCAGAATAACTAGAGGATAGAGCTGAGCAGCTTCTGAGTCCTTAGGAATGCCTAGGTTATAGAGGTTTTCAGGGTCATGATTATTGGGCTCCCTTGGGGAAATGGGAGACAAAAGGAACCCAAGGACCCAGGGTGCTCTGAAATCTGACCTGCTCAGGGGTGAGGTCCCTCTGAGCCTGGGCAAGCATTTCATAGCCAACCATGAATTTCCGGACGGTGGCAGAGCGCAGGAGTGGAGGGTAGTAATGAGCATGCAGCTGCCAGTGATCCCAGTTGGCTCCAGCCTCTGATCCGGTGGGAGCCCCTGACAGGAAGAAGAGATAACTGGGGAGGGCCATTTTTTAGTTCTTCAGCTTAGCCCCTACCCCCAAACCAGGCTAGGTATCTGAAAACTACATCTCCCAGCATTCCTTGGCGTGAGGAGACCAGGCATTAAAACACTGGGAAACATAGTTTCACCAAGTTTGTTGTTCCACCTTCAGTCCCAGCATCCCTACTCGGGACACTTCCCCCCTCCCCCAACAAGTATTTCAAAGCCTGCTGGGGGTTGCAGTCCACTGAGCTCGGCCTCAGGACCTCAGAAATGGTGTTGGGGCTAGGTATGGATGCTCAAAAAGCCTTACCGTGCCAGCCCATGGAGTAGGGAAAGGATGTCTCAAATAGGTTGTCATACTTGGTCAAGAGCTTCTTCATAATAGAGGCTAGATCTGGAACCAGAGCCTGACTCAGCCTGGGGCCAAGATGCTGGCCCTACCAGAGCCATCCCCATCCTGTACATGGCCCTTGGGTCCCAGTCGGGAGACTCACCATCACGCTCAGCAGGGGTCAGCTCAGGAAGGCGCCGCACATGCCTCCGGGGCAGCAGCAGTGTCTGGAAGGGCCACACTGCCCAAAAGGGGACCAGTACTAACCAGTGCTCACTGGTTAAGACCAGACGTTCCTGGGCAGACCGAGTGGAGATGAAGTCATCAAGGGGGGAAGGGGGTTGTTGTCAGCAAATAGGCAGGGGAAGGAGAAAAAATATACCCAGAATCTGATGGCTTCTCATCACCTCCACCACTACCACCCTAATGTAAGCCACCATCATCTTTCCTTTGGATTATTGCTATGGCTTCTCATCAAGTCTCTCTGCTATTTCCCTTCTACCCTTCTCCTTCACACACCTTTCGCTTCTGGGGTGAGGTTAGGGGTTCCTTGGGAAAGCAGGGTCTGGCTTTTTCCCACCTTTCTGAGCAGCTCCTGGTGGCCATATTCCATTAGCAGGGGTTCTCCATGTTGACTCTGATAGGCCCGCTGAGATCGCTCCTCACGCTGGGCAATATCTGGCAGAAAACTACTGGCCCACACCTGTCAAGGGGCAAGAGCAGAGAACTGGCAGATCCTTCACCCCCAAGCCTCCACATTACTTATTCTGTCCCTCCACTTCCCTTCCCCACAGCACTGCTTTGGATTCACCCCAGAAAGCCACTGGAGCCCCTGACACACTTACCTGGCAGTGGGGATGGGGGTTGGAACAGCCCATCATGGCTCCTTTGTTTTCAAAGATCTATCAGGTAGAGGTACGGAGCTTTAGTAGCCAGAGAGACACTAGATCAGCCTCTCCCAACCACACCCTGTGAAAACAGGAATACCACTTCCCAGCACCAAAGCTGCACCACCTGCTCCCTGCCCATCCAGGGTAGGGGGGGCAACCTCACAGACCTGCACCCAAGGGTATCGGGCTCCCAGCTCCTCTGTCACTGCGGCCCATGCATCGATGACAGTTCGGATCTCAGGGACTGACATGAGTGGCAGCGTTACATCGGACCAGGGGTGGAAGCACATGACCTTACTGGGTGGTGGGGGAGGGAGAAATGACAGAGCTATAGGGCTTGGCTGTGCTAGGGGCAGGGCTCAACCCTAGTGCTCAGTCCAACCCAGGGCTGAAGGTAAGAGAGGAAATCCATAGTTACCAAGCTCCTCGAGCAGCCTCTGTTTGGAAAAGGGGATGATCACTGGGTCCTGAGATAAAGGGGTGTCACTCTCTGTAACAGAAGTCCCCCAAGAGGTCCAGCCTCTCTTCCCCCCCAACAGCAGCTAGAGCCAGGTTACCTGGATTGGGGGCATCAGGCTGCAGAGCTGGGAAGTCGTTGTCAAACAGGAAGGTGCCATCATAGTAGGGATTCACCTACTGACAAGGATTGGCTAGAAGCATTTGCCGCTCCCTACCCACCAGTCATGTGGCAGGCTTCAGGGGCTGAACAGGCTACAAAGAGGGTGTGGAAGACCCGCTGTGGGGTCAGAAAGACTTGGTGGGACATAACACAGGAGACCCACTCCCTTGTGGGTGAGGGGCAGCTCTAAGAGGGAGTAGTACTCCTGGCCCAGTTGCAGATGTAGGTTCTAAAGGCTTACCTCTCCATTGGCCCGTGTGGCCCCGGGACACAGAGGGTTGTGTGGGTCATGGCGGGGAACTGTCTTCAGGAGCGGGGGCTCTACTTGCCCCTGCCAGGGCCGCTTCATGCGGTGAGCTGACACCAGCACCCACTCATCCTGTAGCGGGTTGTAGCGGATATGCTGATGTTCTGGGGACAGAGAGGCAATATCAGTCAGCAAAACTCTCTGACCCTCTCTGCCCTGGGTCTCACCCACCAGCAGGCCCAAGCTCGGAAGCACCCTCTCAGCCCTGCCTGCTCAAGAGCCAAAGGCCCAGGCTTGAGCTTTCCCAGCTCGTATTAGCCTGGGGTCCCAACTCAGGCGCGCCAGCTTGGCGGCGTGGGCGAGCCGATCTGGGGGAAGGGACGATAACTTTCTAAGCAAAGGGAGGGCTCGGTTCCGCCTTCCAGCAAGTCCCAGACGCCCTGCAGTTACCGCTCGCCCGGAAGGTTGTGGCCGTGGCGTCTGCCTCTGGCGCCTGCCGGCGCTGCTCAGGGATTGATCCGCTGCGCGACATTAGGCCACTTGCGTGGGTGGGGATCGTCTGGAACGCGACAAATTGGACTCTCACCCATCTCCGGGTACGCCCCGCCCACACCCAATGATTGGTTAGCCTCCTGCACGTGACTGCCTAAGGGCCCGCCCGCCCAATCGCGGGCGGGGCTCAGGAAAGCCTATGGCTTTGGGGGCGCCTTTGGTCATCCCCGTACACCCCTGGGCCAAGTCACTACCCTAAAAGAATCTCTGTAAAAGCCGCTTATTGCAGATCCTTCAGCTCCATGACGCTTACAAGATTTCTTTGCTGAATTCAGTAGTTCATTCGGTCATTCATTCAGCAAATATTTACCGAATATCTGTGTGCCAGGCGCCTAGTCTCCATATGGGGCAAAGGGATGCCCCTGCACAAGTCAGGCATGGTCTCTGCTCCCGCAGCTTACACTCTAGGTCCAAGTAGGGGTGTAACCCTGGATCCACAATTACCTCACTTACTTCCTCAATGGCTATGGTGGAGGAAAAACAAAATGGCATGGGGGTGAGGGTGGGAGTGATCTGCTTCAGCTGAACCCTGGCCTCCAGTTATTACCTGGAGGAGTGGATTGTTCACCGAAATCATACCCCGTCCCCTCCAGGCAGGAGAAACAGGTTTAGGAAAAAAAGGCTAAGTAACCATATTCTCACTCTTATATGCTCATACTGAAAGCACAAGAAGTGAGCAGTGTAAGAGGGCTATAAGAAATCTGAAGGTGTATGGGGCGCCTGGGTGGCTCAGTCTGTTAAGTTCAGATCATAATCCCAGGGTCCTGGGATCAAGCCCTGCATTGGGCTCCTTGCTCAGCAGAGAGTCTGCTTCTCCCTCTCCCTCTTGCTCCCCTTGCTTGCACTCTCTGTCAAATAAGTAAATAAAATTAAAAAGAAATTTTTTTAAGTAAAGATTTTATTTATTTGAGAGAGAGAGAAAGTGAGAGAGAGAGAGCACAGGCAGGGCGAGTGGCAGGCAGAGAGAGAAGCAGGCTCCCATTAGGAGGGAGCCTGACATGGGGCTCTATCCCAGGACCCTGGGATCATGACCCAAACCGAAGGCAGACGCTTAACTGACTGTGCCACCCAGGCGCCCAGTAAATAAAATCTTTAAAAAAAAAAAAAGAGGGACAGAAAAGAAAGCACACCTTCTTATTAAAAGAAGAAATCTGAAAGTGTGGACAGGACCCAACTGCTGGTAGCTCCAGCCACCATCTAGGTGGGATCAGGGGTGTTTCTTTTACACTAGGATAAAATTCAAATTAATTCCTCCCCTGGCACTTTTAAAAAGACATCTAAATATTGTTTGAACCTCCTCCTCATTCCACAGCGAAGAACAGAAGCCTAAGGTCACCCAGAGGAGTAGTGGCCTAGCTAAGATTTGAACCCAAGTTTCCAGGCTCTTCTCGCTGCTCATTTTAGAGACTCAAGACAGAAACCTAGTGAGCTAGGAGCTCCACAGTAGCGGGAAGGCCCCTTCCCCCAACCCAGGCCAGGCCAACCCAGGTGTTTTGCAGCTCAGATGCAAAACCTGGGTCATTGGTCATTTACCTAATCTCTGCCCTAGGTCCTCAGACTGGAATCTGAAGAGGCTACAAGGTAGGTGGCAGGGGACAGGGAACTGAGAAATGAGGATTTTACGTATACCACTGGGGTTTCATTCTTTGGGGTAGGGGTGAGGAGAGCTGGGATGGAAGATTTGTTTTCCTCCTCTCTCAGCCATCTTTGTTGTTGGAGTGATTGGATTTTGGAGGCAGCCCCATTTTCCCAAGAACACCAGTCCTTCAGTGCCACTCCTTGGATCATGCCGATGTAGTTTTGAATGTAGGTGAGGTCCAGAGCCGACGGCCAAGAAAGAATTTTTGAGACATCTTTGGTGCAAAAACGTGATTTTATTAAAGCAGGGTGACAGGACCCTGGGCAGAAAGAGCTGCTGCACCAGGGTTGTGAGGGGTGGCTGATTATATACTTGGGAGTTGGGGGTAGGGAAAAAGGGAGGTTTTTAAAAAAACTTTCATATGCTAAAGAGGACCTACAAGATACCGGACGCCTTGCCATTGTCAAGTTAAGATTGTTTTTTTCCTCTAGTAAAGCATTAACATTAAGACAGTTGGGAGCGGGTGCTTGGGTGGCTCAGTTGGTTAAGCGACTGCCTTTGGCTCAGGTCATGATCCTGGAGTTCCAGGATCGAGTCCCGCATCAGGTTCCCTGCTCAGCAGGGAGTCTGCTTCTCCCTCTAACCCTCCCTCCTCATGTGCTCTCTCATTCTCTCTCTCAAATAAATAAAATCTTAAAAAAAAAAAAAAAGACAGTTGGGAGCTTCCTTCTAGAAAATAGGTTATTGATAAGAATGTTTTTTCTTACAAATGTCACCAAAATATTTGTGAATTTAAGAGGACTCATGTCTTGCAGGATTGTGATCTCTATAAGTTAACCATTTGTTTTTCCTTCCCTTAGCTTTAGGGCAGCCAGCAGTGTCTGAGGAATGTCCCACCTGTCCCAGGGGGTAGGAGGGGCTTGCAGGGTGTCAGCTTGTGCTTTGTCCTCAGCTTGCCTTCTGCTCCTTCATCAGTGCCCGCTAACTCCTCACACCCTTCAGAAACATCTCTTCAGGAACATGTCCAAACCTCTCCTCTGTCTCCCAAGATCACTTTTTGGGGGAAGAGTACTATGACTGAGATGGGGCCTACCGAGCCCCTCCCCTCCAAGATCTCTTCTACAATGTTGTTCAAAAGAAAACTGTAGGCCCAGTCCACAACAGCCAAACCATGGAAAGAGCCAAGATGTCCATCGACAGATGAATGAATAAAGAAGATGTGGTATATATACACAATGGAATATTATGCAGCCATCAAAAGGAATGAGATCTTGCCATTTGCAATGACGTGGTTGGAACTGGAGGGTGTTATGCTGAGTGAAATAAGTCAGTCAGAGAAAGACATGTATCATATGACCTCACTGATATGAGGAATTCTTAATCTCAGGAAACAAACTGAGGGTTGCTGGAGTGGTGGGGGGTGGGAGGGATGGGGTGGCTGGGTGATAGACATTGGGGAGGGTATGTGCTATGGTGAGCGCTGTGAATTGTGCAAGACTGTTGAATCACAGATCTGTACCTCTGAAACAAATAATGCGATATATGTTAAGAAAAAAAAAAAGAAGATAGCAGGAGGGGAAGAATGAAGGGGAGTAAATTGGAGGGGGAGACGAACCATGAGAGACGATGGACTCTGAAAAACAAACTGAGGGTTCTGGAGGGGAGGGGGGTAGGAGAATGGGTTAGCCTGGTGATGGGTATTAAAGAGGGCACGTTCTGCGTGGAGCACTGGGTGTTATGCACAAACAATGAATCATGGAACACTACATCAAAAACTATTGATGTAATGTATGGTGATTAACATAACAATAAAAATTAAAAGCACCAAAAAAAAAAAAAGAAAAGAAAACTATAGGCCCAAACTGGTGTCACATATGTCAAATTTTCAAACCAGGGCTTAATGCCTAATCTGTGGTTTCAACTTCCCCAGAAATGTAGTCTTCCCTGGTTAGTCAGGAATTTTGCGATTAGCACCAATGAGTCCCTTCCTGGGCCCTCTTCCCCAAAGGAAGCCGAGGTAATCTGCATAATAAGATCCCCTGCTTTCCCCCCTAAGGCAAAAGGAACTTGCCTGGATCAATCCTTTTCTAGTAACTTTCTTATCCCAGACTTCTTTCTATAAAAACCTTCCACTTCGGGGGCACCGTAAGCGTCTGATTCTTGATTTTGGCTCAGGTCACAATCTCAGGGTCTTGAGATTGAGCCTCAAGTCAGCTCCACACTCAGCGGGGAGTCTGCTGGAGAGTCTCTCCCTTTTCCTCTGCCCCTCCCCCTCCTATGCGTGGGCACTCTAAATAAATAAATAAATAAATAAATAAATAAATATTTAACAAAATAAAAATAAAAACCTTCCATTTTGCATACCTCCTCCTCGGAGCTCCCCTCTACTTGCTAGATGGTGTACTGCCTGATTCATGAATTGTTTAATAAAGCCAATTAGATCTTCAAATTTACTTGGTTCAGTTTTGTTTCTTAACATCTAGAGAATATGGCTGTGATCAATTTTTTTTAAAAAAACAGTGTGTGCTAGAGAAGCCTTCTGAAAGATCAGGGGAACTGCAGACCCAGACAGTCCCAGAGAGTTCTGCCTAAACAGGGGCATACAGGCCAGATTTTGGGGTTAGTCCTGGTCCTCAGGGTTAAGAGAATGGTCAGCTCAGGAGTGTCGCAGGAGCCAGAGCCAATACAAAAACCTTCCCTCTGTCATGCAGTCTCCTCTAGATAATCCCTTCTTTATTTCCCTTCTTGGCCAAGTTTCTCAAAAAATAGTCCATCTTCCCAGCCTCTACTCTTACCGGCACAATACACTGTAACATGTCTAGTGGCCTGTATTAGGTTAAGTAATCTTAGTTGCTGTAGCAAATGACACCCCACCCCCCAAACTCAGTGGTTTAGCAACACAGTCCATTTGGGGGGAAGCAGCATTCAGAATTCTCCACTACTTAATTCTCTGTAACTAAGATAATAGATGAGGGAAGAGCGAGAATGTAAAGAATTTCACAGGTTTTAGGAGCCAGACCTGCCTGGAAGTGGTATACGTAATTTCTGGTTACACTTCATTGGCCAGAATACAATCATATGGCCTCATCTAACTACGGAGTATACTGTGGAATGTAATCTGGCTGCCCAAGAGCAAAAGGAAATAGATTTGTGAATGTATAGCATCATCTCTGCTATATGCCCCTACTGAGAAACCTAATGACCATTTCCCATCATTTTATCGGAACTCTCAATTACATTTGACTGTGTTGACCCTTCATTCCATCACTATCATGTGTGATGCTATGCTCTTCCAGTTCTCTTCTCCTTTGTGTTTTATTTATATAGCAAACACATATGTCACCATTTGCAAGGCACTAATTGCTTTATAAATACTAACTCATTTAATCTTCATCACAATGAAGGTATGTACTATGGGGTAGGTACTTTTATTCATCCCATTTCACAGAT